GACGAGTGAAATAAACACTGCAAGTCGAGCACCCGGTTTCTGAACCCAGCAGAGGGAGTGCCCATCGAGGACCTAACCTAGAAAGGGAGAGAAACACACAGGTCCCGGGAAACACTGCAAAGAAACTAGCAGAAGGGTTATACACACAACCACCATCTCATTAGATACACACATATATATATATTTATATATACATATATTTAGACATGGATCGTACTCACCCACCATGGTTGTTACAGGGGAATTAGGAAGGTGAAGAGAAGATAAGGGCAGATGTAAGACCCCTGAAGGAAATGAGTAGATACTGAGATATCACTCTTATCCGGACAAAAGCCCCCTAGAGGACGCAGTTCGAAGTTCCCATGAAAGGGAAACAGAATATTTGCAAAGTAGGCCTACTCAGACCAACAAAAAAAAACATTTAAATATAAGACAAATTATATGTTAGGCCTACCTGAATATTTTTATGACAAGGCACGTGATTAGCAAGGTTGTTAATACTTTTGATGGAAGGAAGATCCCTTAAAATGGTAGAAATACGAGATCCAACCGCTGCATCTGTTGCATTATGTGATGAATGTTCTTCTTGAGGGGGTAATGTTGAATTCAGCTGCATCGCTGAGGATGGACGCGTTTGTGGCTCTCCGTTGACATAATGCGCAATGACAATGAGAGCAATAGCCAAAGTATATAGCCACATATTGGTTCCCTATTTAAACTGCTTGTCTTGTATAGTGAAAAGATTTAGTACAGAGAAGGTCAGCAAACTCGAAATGTGAACAACAGCTGGCTGACTAATGGTGTTTGGAAATGATGCGCTGACATCTTAAATATTCCACGGTTCCCACCGTCGGTCGTCAAACATGCCCTGTGTGTGTCTTCGCGAACTATCTGTCTGCCAGCTCGAGTGTTCTGTTTCATTCGTTGGTTTGCACTCCCACGCAGCTCGGCCCGTTATCCAGGATGTTTTCTTGGGAATGCGTGTCGGCAGGAGGAAATGTGGGTTATCCACACCCGGAAGAGCTCCGGGAGGGTCCAGACTGACGAGGAGCCAACGCGCATCAGCGTTTACCACAAACGTGGTGTTATGGAAGAAGGGCACATGTTGATAGTTGTGTTAATTGGCGAAATATTGCATGCATTGCACACGAGAGTGGTCTACACATCAGACAGTTTTACAGTAGACATTTTAATAATGAATTTGAATCTGTAGCCATATGTGTCATCATGTTAGCTATTATATTATATATGCTACATGTTGCAAACCATCATATCTATCTATCTATCTATCTATCTGTCTACCTAGCCATCCATCCATCCATCCATCCATCCAAAGGCTCTCTTTAAAAACGTGTTAGAGTGTTAGATACAGGTGGGTAAAGTTTATTTTGAATTATTTCAGCCAATTAAAACAGTATATGCAAGGAACACATTATTTTATAAATCAGCTAGTGATGTAGACTTTACAAAGAGGTGTTTGTTAAAGAATTAGCCTATATACCACAACAGAAAATCTGAAACCCTCATCTTATCCGAGAAAATCTCTCTTTCTAAAATAAGAGAGCATTAAATGTACCCTGCAGCAAAAACAGCCGGCTTAATTTGAGAGAGAGAGTGGAAAATGGTCATGAAAAATTTAATGAGACTGTTTATATTGCAAAAAAAAAAAAACTTACTAACATTATAAATGGACCTTACAGGGATAAATGCATGATTTGACCCCTTAAGGTTGTAAGTAAAGGAAATGGGTTATTCTTGGATTAGGCTTTGGCTTTCCTGTGCTCCATCCTGGGTTAGGGTTAGGGTTATTTTACAATATTTAACAATATTTAACAGAAGAGTCCTTCTAAAGCAGGGCTGTCCAAACTCGGCCCTTGGTGTCCTGCAGAGTTTAGCTCCAACCTTAATTAAACACATCTGAACCAGCTAATCAAGCTCTTACTAGGCATAGAAACTTCCAGTCAGGTGTGTTGAGGCAAGTTGGAGCTAAACTCTGCAGGACACCGGCCCTCCAGGACCGAGTTTGGACAGCCCTGTTCTAAAGCAAAGAAACTTAAAGGGGTGGTTGATTGCGATTTCACTTTTTTAACGTTAGTTAGTGTGTAATGTTGCTGTTGGAGCATAAACAATATCTGCAAAGTTGCAGCGCTGAAAGTTCAATGCAAACGGAAATATCGTCTTTTAAAATTCTGGCAGTTTAATGCCTACAAAAACGGCTGGTAGGGGTAAGAATCTATTCATATATGAATCGCGATTCTGTCTTCTAACGATTCTAATGGATTCACAAGTTTCAAAATCAATGTTCAAAAGCAGCAGGTTCTCAATCCTGTTCCTCGCATCGCCCTGCTCTGCATCGCTCTCTCTCTCTCTCTCTCTCTCTCATTCAAATCGTCAGATCAGCTCCAACAAACTGTTCCATTTATACACTTATATTCACATAGCTATGAGAAGCGTTATACATGGACGTGCGTACGATTGCTGTGCTGTATTAAAGCTTTAATCAGAATAAAACCATATATTAAAAGCTAACAGAAGCAGTAGCATTTACAAACAACAGCGTATCTAAAAGTATGGGACAACAACAAACAAACATACCATTAAGAGCGCGATCCTCTTCATTCATATTCTCTGCGTCTCAATCGGGCTCAAATTGATAAGCAATATAGAAAACGCCATTGTTTACAATACAACCGGAGCACATTCTTGAGCTTGAGGGGCGGGATGTTCAGAAGCGCTGTAGAGGCGGTTTAGCGAATCACAACACACTGAGCCAGCTGACCAATCACAGCCCACGCGTATTTCTAAGGGAGGGACTTCATAAAAACAGGAAATAATCGAGGCATTTGTTAGAGAAGGGACAGATCGGTGTGGAATAAAGGTAAATTATGTGAAAAATAATGCGTTTTTTAAAAAACGAAGCATGAACACATGTTAGACTGCACCCCATAAACACAATCAAGCCTAGAAAAAACCCAGTCAACCACCCCTTTAAAGATCAGGGAAGTAAAGTGCATAGTTTAGCCACATGATGGCGCAATGTACACATACAGTCAAACCAAAAATTATTCAGACACCAGATATAATTATTTATATTTTTTTACTAGTTGGGTGCAGGACACTATAGTTTATTCATGTAAGTGAGGATAGCTAAATAAAGTAAACTGTGACATACCCAAAAATTCTTCATACAGTGGACTACCAGTAAAATGTATAAACATTTGGGACCAGTAATTATTCAGACACTTTGGCCTGACCATGATTTGCGTAAGTGTTATCTGACATTATCAAGATGAATTTGTTCTGACACAGTTTAACTCTGAGTTCTTGCCATATTTTATTACCATTTTCTAAACTTAAGCAAATAATCTGATAATATGTGAAATGCTGAAGGTGTTTGAATGGTCAAAGACAGTACTGTTATATATATATAAAGTCTTTGACCATTAGTATTTTTTTTTCACCAAAAAAAAAGTGGTGTGTAGCATGTCAATAGGAAATATCAGTTTACATTTCTGAGCATTCCTTTTGCCATTAATTGTAACAATATAGTGAGATTTTTGTATGCACAAGAAGTCTGACAACAGCCAGTGCTCCACACAGATTTTAGGTTTCTTTTAGTATCTTGGAGACATCTACAAGATTTCGTCTGTCTCAGTTTGTTCTGTTTCTTCATGTAAACCCAGGATGGACTGGATGTTGGTGAGATCAGATCTCTGTCTGGAGCACTGGCTGTTGTCAGACTCCTTGTGCATACAAAAATCTCACTTGGTTATTACAATTAATGGCAAAAGATATCTATAGATAAACTACTACTGAATAACATTTCTATACCTGTGACAAATAAAATTTATCAATTAATGTGTATACTAACATAAGGGCATATTTAATGTTTATAAGTCAACTCTCAAGTGTACATTATGTTGGAAGAACTGCGAATTTCTTCAGATCCACAGTCCAAAAAAAAAATAATAATAATAATATAAGGCCACAAAAGGGCTCCTATATATCTGTGTATTTTTCAGACCAGCCCATATTTTATTTAACATTATTTAAACGTTTTCTTTGTTTTATTCAGTACTACACTAACATGCATCCAGATTTGTGTGCTGATATTAGGGGCCATAATACCATACGTGATCATTTACATAATGACATCTGGGCTGTGACACCACTTTCTATTTATATTTGACTTTTTATTTTTTTATTTTAGTCTAGGTTGTACACAAACAATCAATAGAGTTCAGCTCAAGGCCTCTGCCTTCCATGAACAGTCCACCTGGAGCATTTGCTAATGCCTACGTGGCATGCCTTTAGAGAAGGAGGGGGAGGGAGTCAAGGAATGATCCAATTACAGTTGCTTAGTAACCAACTGCAGTATGCAGTCTAGCTGTTTAGAGAAGATAGAAAAGAGCCCTTGACAGAGCTGCACTTCTGCTACTGTGTACACATGGGCTACTTGTTCATAAATTAAACGGTAAAAGTATTTATACAATTTATGCAGATGAGTTTTAGAGCAATATGTTAGTCATATTGCAATATAATTAATCCAATGTGTCTTATTTGGGCCATTGCAAGTTGAATTGCATTGAAAAAGCTCTTTGTATTGTTATGCTGTTAATATACACCCTAATCTTATTTATATATGTATGTAACAATAATATAAATTAATATAAAGTTAATATTAAATAAAATAATTCAAAATTCTAAAATAATCATATACTATTCTGTTTTACACAGTTTTGACTATTTAGTTAAAGAATTTATTTTATTTTTATTATTATTATTAAAGACGTCATAATAGCAACACTGTGAATTCAAATTGAATCATTTTAGCTCAATCTCAATCATTTTAGCTTTATATCCTATAGGTTTTAATGAATAGTGAAGATGTCTGAAATGTACAACTCATGGAATTACTGAATAATATCTCTGCGTATTAAATTAAAATATAATAACACTACTAACATGACACGGGCCTTCTGGGCCTTATTAATTAACAGAAGTTTTTGATATTTAACATAATTTAAGGTCAAGGACTGAGTGAAGACACAAAATTAGATCAATTAACCTCAACTTGTTTCGACTGACTTAATCTTACAAATGTTGACATTCAGATGAAACTACAAAATCAAGAAGAGCAGAGAGAGTTATTTAAATTACATTGTGACGAGATCAGGTTGGAAATTTCATATATATATATATATATATATATATATATATATATAATAAAAGTAATTTTCAATTAATCTAATATGGTCTGTGGTTATCATTATTATAAGAGACTTTAAAACTTAGTTCTACAACATAATACTGTCATAACTCTAACATAAATGTTGAAGCTGCTGTTTTTTAAAACGTAAATTATTCAAAGTCTCACAATCTTGTGTTGCCATTTTCTAATAATTATTATTTGTTTAATAAATAAAAATTAAAAACATCTTTAAAATTCACTTTTAAGGTATGACTGCGTAATTTATCTTCAGGTCTCTTCAAGTAGCCTAAACTACTCATAAATCAAAATTTGATATGCTGTTCAAACGTTTGGGATCAGTAAGATTTGTAATGTTTTTTAAAGAAGTCTCTTCTGTTCATCAAGGCTGCATTTATTTGACCATTTCTGATGTAAATCAAAAACAAAAGAAATTAGTCAGAACGCATGGTTAAAAAATGCAAATTATCTTCTTGGTTTTAGAACCACAAACTGAGCAGCTCTTATGTTTTGCGTTGTTAATGATGTAAATCAAAAACAAAAGAAATTACAGTCAGAACGCATGGTTAAAAAAATGCAAATTATCTTCTTGGTTTTAGAACCACAAACTGAGCAGCTCTTATGTTTTGCGTTGTTAATAATGCCATGGCGTTATGTAAGTGGTACAGTAAGGCAAGTAGTTCTTTTATCAGTTTTATTTGAAATGGGAATGCTTTGTTGTTGTATAGTTAGTATTTGTGGTTAAATGATAGTGTTGACAATATTCTAGTGTAAAAATGTGTTTGTTTTTACGGTCACTGAAATCAAACGTTAGTTTACAGATACAGTCATGGACGCAGCGTTTCTTCTACCCAGAATGCTGCAGTGAGAGGAAGTTGTCTCTGCTTACGCTGAAGCTCAGGGCAGTCCACTGATTCGATCAGTATAACAGCGCAGGCAGAGGACGAGGAGCGCAGACGGGAGAGAACAGACGGCGAGGACGGGTGAAGATGGCGATGCGTCGCGCTCCGAGTGAGAAGAGCTCATTAAAACGAAGAAGATTAAGGAAGAGAATGGCGTCGACCCGTTCAGACGAAAGAGCAGTTCTCGACGGTGGGAACATGGTAAGATTTCATTGTAGATTCTAACTTATAAACGTGTTTGAGCGAGTGCTACAGACGCACCAATATGGTGGAAAAGGAGAGGGTTCGACGAGGTGTTGTAAAATGGCCATGATGGGGCCATTGCCAAGTACTGAAAAATGGCATTCCGTCGTTTTAATCGACGATTTTATGGTAAAAACATCGCGAAAATGCTAGGAAAACAATGCATGGATATGTTGCAGGAAAACTGTGAAGATTTCAACTGACAGCAACGACGAGAAACAAGGATTTAACTGTCTACGCATTTTAAATTCGCTTTGTCCTTGAGAGGACAAAGTGTCCTTGTAACATTTGAAAGCGGAAAAAAATATATTAAATGTCAATATTGTTGTAACAATGCAATTTTGGACGTTCCATTGCCAGTCTCAACATTTTGAGTGTCTTTTGTTGATTTCAAATGTTTTCTTTGAATAAACAATTTTATTGAACATTTTAATGCTTTTTTTTTTGTGTGTTAATTACTGAAAAAATATTTTCTTTAACCCTGATGTACATTGTTTTGAACTTCTTCAGAGAACATTGTGAATATCTCAACTTACCATAGGATTTAGCACATAATTTTGATGTTTTACTTTATTTTAAGATTCTATTTTTATCTGCATAAAATGTAATGGTTAAACATTTGTTCATTTTATGGGGTTTTTCCACTTGGTAATGAACTTTAAAGGTATCCACTTGTATTTCTTGTATTTTGAACAACATTTATGCTGTATTTCTCGATGTTAAATAATAGGGTGTTGGCTTTTAACCCATTGTGGTCCACAAGAGGAATTTATATTTAAAAAAAAAAATCTAAACTTGTTTCTTTATTTCTGTTTAACCTTTTTTGGTCAGAGATTTGTGTGAAGTACATTTTTACCTGATTAGTACTGTTTTAAAGTATTAAATGCCTTAACATTGTGCAAAAATATTGATCAGCTTATAAAAAAAGTCAAATTAAACCTGGAATTTTTTTCCCATCTGGTTTTTGACACAATATCATAGAAACATATAACCTAGAAAGTAATGCTTTTTAGTATGTCTTTATTTAAAGTGCAAAATGATAGCTTTGAAATTATATACGAGGTCTTAATAAATAAGTTTATAGAATTAACTGTGCACTCCACTAATGTTCAGAAAACAAAGGTTGCTACAAATGAAGCATGTAAGAATAAATAAAAATAAAACATAAGCCCTCAGTAATGTTTCTATATAAAAGAGGTTTCTGATTTATGTATATTCTTTGGTGTATATGATGTATTGTCATGTTATGTACATGATGTAGATTTTAAACAATAGTTATTGCCATTTACTTGGACGTTAGCTAAAGAAATTGTATTTCACGTAGAGGAATTCCACAGCTGAAATATTTCTTTTGAACATTTTGACGCTGAAGTGAGCATTACTATGTAAAGGAGAGAATACAATACTAATTGTCTAAATTGTTTTTTTGTGTACAGGAATCAGAACAACTAGATGAAAGATGATGGCGTTTCGTTCAGTCACATATCATGTAAATGTAAGTGTCAATGTAATGTAAAAAAAATAAATGACTGCTGTGCTTTGTACATTACATTTAAGCAATCTTTCACCTTTTATTTACTTAATCACTGACTACCAGTAGGTTGTGCTCTAAATCAAATTGTAAGAGGAATTTTCGATTAAACGAAGAATCTTTTGTTGTTAAAGGTTCCTGATCTGCCAAACGTCAAAGAAAGATGAGGAAAAGGATTTTCGCTGTAAGTATTAAACTTAAAGAAACCTTGTAGAAGCCTAAGCTATTTCTTTTCTTGAAAGTCGTACAGTTTGTTTTTGCTACTTTATGGTTGTGTGGTATATTTATTAATGCTTTGAAAATGCTTCAAATTTACTTCAGTTTTACTTAAAGTAATTTTACACAATTTGAGCAAATCAACAGTGTGACTTTTTTCCCCCCTAAATCCAGGTACGTACAATAAATTCTAAACTGCATATGTTTTCAAAAATTTTAATCCATCAAAAAATATATAGAACCTGAGTTTGCTATGGTAGCCATACCATTTGTTAATGTAACCGTATCATTCTACTTGAACGTTTAACTTAGTGGTCATATGACGTTGCTAAAAAGAACATTATTTGGTGTAATGCAATGTTTATGCGGTTTAAGGTTAAAAAAACACATTCTTTTCCATATAATGTACATTGTTGATCCCTAATTGCGCTGCCTTTCTGAAACGCGTCGATTTTTATAAAGCTCATTGTTCTAAAAAAGCGAGGTGTGCTCTGATTGGCCAGCTATCCAGTGCATTGTGATTGGCCGAATACCTCAAGCGTGTGACAGAAATGTTACACCCCTTACTGTGATGCCGTCTCCCAGCAGGACAAGACGAAACCAATAAAACCCATTACAAACGAGGCATTTGTTGCATCCAGTGGGGACATAATTACTGATTATAATGACTTACACTGTCTTTTTACGCGTTGCGTATAGCGCCGCGTAAACATAAAACCATGTCTGCATTTGTGATTGGAGAAACAACAAGCGCTACTTACTCTACACTGCTCAAAACTCGCGTTTGAATCATCAGTGGCAAATTATTTAAATATAATAAACGTACTTACAGGCCGTGAGTCAGAAGCGCCAGACTGCCCATGCAAAGTTGGAACTGCCCCCACTTTATAGAAACCGCCTTTGTGCCACAGACGTAGTAGGCTACTGGTTCAGGAAACAGTCCTCATCCTCCATAAAATGCGCAGCACACATCTGAATATTTTTGTTGAACTGTTCTGGAACAGTGTTGTAAATACAACTTAACCACTGATTTGTAGTTGTGTTCTCTTTTGGAAGGCCAAACAAAGTAGTTTCGCTTTCACAAGGAAACACACAGCGACTCCACAACATGGCAGCGGTGGCAATAGCAAGAATTTAAATTTATGCCTTCTTTTTTTGCGTGAACATTTGGGCGGCGTTATGCAAATCTTTCCACATAGTGAGGTAGATATGTGGGGGCGTGTTAGAACGAGCCGTTTTAGGTAGGAGTGGTTGACTCTTAACTTTTATAAAGAATATCTCTTTGGATTTGAGACTTTAGTCTTTACAACTTTACAGATCTTCTTTATGCACCAAGAGCTTGTAACACTCCAAAGAGAAAGGAAAAATTTAAATCGCATCATATGACCCTTTAACATCCAACTTTAAGGATGAAATGCAGACAGAAAAAAAAATGCATCTATTAATAGAAAAAAAAATAAAGGCAACATTATTGCACAATGTATTTTGGGAATAGTGTGGAAAAACACTATTTAGGCCTGTATGTATAACCTTTGTACGTGACAATTATCACTTTCAATTAAAAAATTTTCTAGAAAAATGTTTTGTCACATTAGACAATATACCTAATGGCATAATTAGCTTTTCGTTGCACAATAGCTGGAACATTGCGATTTTTACTAATTGAATTAATTTTAATTGTTTAAATTATTCATTCAATTACAATAATTTATTTATATTTTATCCCTGAGAACATGTCAGCATCCCTAGTGTGAACGGCTTTAATGAAGTAAACGAAAAAGAAAAAAAAAATTTAAAGGACGCATCACATTACAACAAACTCTTATAATAACAATAAGAATTTATTTAAAAAATTGTCAATCCAGTTACATTTTGTTTTGTTGTTGTTTTACTTGACAACCAATTATCTACTATTATTATTATTATTATTATTAATAATAATAATAATTTTAAGTTTGCCAGCATACCACAAGCTCATTGCATTTTATTGAACGCTTTACAACACCTTTCAGTTCTGACTTCAGTTTATGAAAATTTAGCACCCAGAAACTTTAATTCAACAGTTGTCAGTTCATGCTTTCCCTGGGAATCGAACCCACACCCTTACCATTAGTAGCGTGAGGATCTACTGTTTGAGCTTGAGGTAATAGCACTGCAATTCCTGCTCAAAATGTGGTTTGTGGTAGCAAGTTAGTAGGGGTGTCGAAATTAATCGTTTCTTCGATGCATCGCGATGCAGACGAGGATGATTCGGTATCGGTTCAGTAATAGACCATAACTGATTATAACGTACTGACGCTTTTCTGACATCATTTGTCGCGGTAGCATACATTAGGCGCGTTTGGCTTGAAGCGCCGCTGCGCAGAATGATCAGTGTATGACCAAGTACCGCGAGAGCGATAAGAGAGCGGACGGATCCTTATGCTTTCGCGGTTGGTGTCATACTCTCATCCTGCGCAGCGCTGCTTCAAATCGAACACGCCTAATGGCGGAGGGAGGCGAGACGCGAGTAATTAAAAATGCTCCAACTACTTTAAAAGCCGACATCTGGCCACATTTAGGCTTTTATGAACAACCTGAGCATGACCTGGAGAAGAGACACGCTGTGTGTAAATCATGTCACGCACAATGAAATATGTAGGGGGTAGGGATGGGCAAATGAAGCCTTGTGAAGCACTGAGGCTTTCCTCTGACTGATTTACTCGCAATGTAGAGGGTTGGATAACTTCCGCGATCACTGTTCTGACTCGGAGGAAGCTCATTCACTGCTCATCTGTCAGTCATATTACGTGTTCATAACCCGCCCTGTCTCCGTTGCGAACGTGTTACACTTCAGAAAAACATTTCTATGGATTAAACATGAAGCTAAAAACACGCGATTATGACAGTATATGATTTGTATGATTTTCATGAGATTCTGGCTATTTTCATAATACAGTGTTTACATGAGAAATGCTAAGCAGGTGTAGCGATTAGCTTGATATAAAAGGCTACAAATAACAAATTTCTGCAACATTATATGACCAAAACCCTGATTAGATCGCAATCTGAAGTTATTACAAACACTCAATGATGGTTTAAAGTGAGTTTTGAGCATATTATAACAAAAGCATAGTATAAATTTTATAAATTGTCTTATGTAGCTTGATGCTACAGTGTGCATGAATGGTCACAGATGTGTTTTCTTTGAAGCCTCGCCAGAGCCAATCACTGATTTAGGCACATAAAGCATGCTGTATGCTTATTGGCTCACTGACATTAGTGTCTCGAAAACAGCGCCATCTGGTGGTTCATAAAAAATATAGTAGCCAAAAGCCTGTGAAAGATGCTCCGTAGGACGAGGCATCTACCACATATTCCACAGATCGATTCAAGTTATGTGCACAAATAAAAACCTAACAGTGTTTGTGTTTGAGTTTCTGAGAAAATCATTTACCCATTAAACTGTGCAATTTAATACCAATACGAATATCAATATGATGTAATAGAAGAATAATGTACTCATATGAGCTCACTGACATTGACCAGATTAACCCCTTGGGTATTGAAATTTGGTACCGAACAACAAGACCAAGGCAATTCAGTCGGTGCCTAAAAAGTATCGAACTCGATACCCAGCACTAAATGTGACATTAACTCAAGCAGCTAATGTGTTCTCAAATGACAGTGGAATGTTTTATACTTCTGATCTCACCGATTCTCTTTATCCCTGCAGGTGATGTTTGCCTGAAGAGGAAGCTTCAGCAAAGTTTCAAGGAAGGGAAGACTACTCTGTAAGTCCATGATGTAATAGAAGAATAATGTACTCATATGAATTGCATATGACACATATTGAATTTTTCTGAAATAATTTGTATTCTTCATATTACTTATGTGACTGGGTATCTAAAATGTAACTGAATAAGTCCGAATTAAAACTTATTCGTAAAGTAAGATCTGGGGGATTGAACATTTCGACAAGCAAAGTGAATCGCGCACATGACTGGACAGAAAGTGAAGCTTCATTGGTCACGTGATTTCTATGACAATTAACAACACAACACAAGCTTCGAATCGAGGCTTCATCTGGCACGCCTATTTATTCTCGACACAAGCTCCGATGGCTCGGTTCAAATGTCACATCACTAGCAGGGGGTAATACCACTAACTTAAGAAACCAGGTCAGGTACAGTTCATATATCTGACTGCTTGTATTTATTGACAAAATTGTATAAATGTGAAGTAAAATTGAGGATGCAGTGCATTGTCAATGCATTGTGATGCATCGTGATATCGAATTGAATCGAATCGATGACATGATAATCGGAACGGAACGGAACCGTGAGACCAGTGTAGGTTCACACCCCTACAAGTTAGCTACTTCATTGCAGCCAGAGTAAAGGAGTCTAATTATTGATAACAGCCCTCTACGATCACCTTGGCAATTGAATCGCCATTGGCTAGTACATTTTTTTGTTTACTTGCCAGACTGTTTGTAAAATGGCACAGTTTTATAAATATCTGAAAGTACACTCTTAACATCAGTCAGTCAAGCATTATAATATTCAGTCGGTGCCTAAAAAGTATCGAACTCGATACCCAGCACTAAATGTGACATTAACTCAAGCAGCTAATGTGTTCTCAAATGACAGTGGAATGTTTTATACTTCTGATCTCACCGATTCTCTTTATCCCTGCAGGTGATGTTTGCCTGAAGAGGAAGCTTCAGCAAAGTTTCAAGGAAGGGAAGACTACTCTGTAAGTCCTCACAGTGTTATTTGTATTATTAAGGTTTTACTCCATATGTCTGTCATTTCAGCTACATTTAGGTCCCACAGCTCTAGTACCATATTTTAGCCCCAGCAAATGTAGTAGTCAGGAAACGGCATAAAATGGACGTTTCGTCAAAATAGTTAATTTAGAATCGCTGCAGTTCATCAGTTTTACAGAAGGTTAAGAAAAATTTCAAAGCTTAATAAAGTGTCGTTGAGAATGGCTACCTGTTACTGCTTGGAAAAGTGTAAATGGTCCGCTTTTTTCACTTCGTATTGATGACCGCACGTTTTACATTTACTTGTCTTCAGTACCTGAGCATGCTTGGGTGCTGTCTTCACTTCATCTTGTTTTCAGTGGAAACCTTTCTTGAGATCAGTGACTCGTTTCTTGTGGAGTCTATTCTGCTTTTGTGTAACTTGTTTTACACACCTTGATTCTGTGCCACAATTGGCCTCCTCTTGTTTTCACTGACTGTTGCATACTTCATTATGCGTTGGAAGAGTTCGCTGTCACTTGCACTATTGCCACATTTATACTGGAATACACTTCACTGCATTTCCGGTTTCTCTGTGTGACATGTAGAGTGATCGCTGAAACTTTTTCTGCTTTTGATTTTGGGATGGGTATCCAGATAGGGACAGACCAGAAAACATGGTCTGTTACCATTGCACATTAAATAGTGTGCCTATTCCAGTGCATTATTTGATGTTCTTCATATTAAGACACTGTTTAATTTGAGCTACCATCTAATTATCTTATTGACATTGTTAATCAAAAGGGATTCAAACAGTTTCGAAGGAAAATGAACTTGACTTGAGAATAAAGCTACCGACATTATCATTAAGCAAATGCCTTGCGTTTATTGAGAATGAAGCTGTGACTTGGAGTCTTTTTAATCACTTTTCAGAAGCCTGGCTTTTATTAAATGTACTTCATACCTGGCCATTTTTTTCCCCTTTGGGAATATTTTTCTTTGTAACATTTGGGACAACTTGTTTTCTTTTTGTAAAATCCCCTTTATATTTGCACTTATACACATCTGTATGCAAATTTCTCTATTTATGAATGGACCTTTTCTAATGTCACTTCTCATTTTTGGTGGTTAAGCCACTTAGTGACACTTTTTTGTCTCAGCAGCCTAAACAATCCGAATGACATAAATGTATCGATTTTACTGTTGTTGTTGTTGTTTTTTGATCATATTCTTTAATACACTTTTAATTTTGGCCCAAGTTGCACATTGTAATAACATTATCACAAGGACAGACACACTACAGTAATTTATTAAACTTCAATAATAGAAGTTCTCACTTATTCATTTCAATGCCTTTTAACTCTGTAGACTTCTAACTTGGATACATCTTTATTCTTGTATCAATGACTATTGGATACATCTTTGTTCTTGTGTCAGTAGGTACGTACGTTTACATGGACACTTTTTGCTTCCATCGGAATGAATTCATTCTGATTGACGAATCCAAACGTAGTGTTTACATGAACGCTAAATAAAGTGATCGAGTTGATATGCGTGTTTGTCACAAGCTTCTGATGGGATTTACTCTTTTGACATGCGCACACTGCATGAATATACAGAGTTTCCCGCTGTTGTCGCATACGGTTTTAAAAAGCACACTTGATATTTATCTATTTCGGGTCCTATTTAGGCGATGACCAGCACATGAACTGTTGTGCTGTGCTGCTTACTTTATAAAGCAGTAAAAGTGCCCCTTTCCGCACCCAAAACCAGTCGTCTGTGGATGATGGTCTTAAACAAGGACTGGTGGGATGTTGTGCTGCTCCACTTCACATACGCTGAGTGAAAGGGGAGTTTTATAATGACGGGACACTCACTTATGACACTTCATTCACCAGGAAGAACAGCTCGTTCTGCGCGTCATACGTCATTACGCTATTTTTACGTCCCTACACATACGCAGTACTTTCCAGTTTCGGTTTTCAATCCGATCAAGTGTTTACATGTCCTCTCGCTCGGATTACAAAAGGAATAAACCACCCCTTACAATCCGAACGAAATCTGAATCGGATCTGGCCAATTCAATCCGATTTTTTTTTTTTTTATTCTGATTGTGCTTCTATTCCTATTACGAACGGATTAGTAGGGTCCATGTAAACGCGGCTAATGACTATTATTACAAAGATTGGAATAAAGTAACCTTTTGTGAAGCACATTTACAGAAATGATAGCTAATGACAGACATATGTTGTAACACTACAGGATTTCAAAATGCTTTTGTTTTTTTTTCTGTTTCTTTTTTTATGTTGTGATCATTTAAACTATGGGTCTATCATAAAGCTACTTTCTGAGTACCAAATTAATAAATACTTAGTAATAAGAACTTAGAAGTGAACCAAATCCAGGTATTATAGATTTTCCGGTAGTTGAAAGAAAAGGTTTCTGTAGTGACGTTTCTTGTGATTAATGCTTCTGAAATTATGCGAATAGAGTTTCTTGCACCTGCATCTGTAGGTGAATGTAACAAAATCAAGCAAAAGCTGCGGAAACTACGTAGCAGTCTGATTGACGAATCCAAACGTAGTGTTTACATGAACGCTAAATAAAGTGATCGAGTTGATATGCGTGTTTGTCACAAGCTTCTGATGGGATTTACTCTTTTGACATGCGCACACTGCATGAATATACAGAGTTTCCCGCTGTTGTCGCATACGGTTTTAAAAAGCACACTTGATATTTATCTATTTCGGGTCCTATTTAGGCGATGACCAGCACATGAACTGTTGTGCTGTGCTGCTTACTTTATAAAGCAGTAAAAGTGCCCCTTTCCGCACCCAAAACCAGTCGTCTGTGGATGATGGTCTTAAACAAGGACTGGTGGGATGTTGTGCTGCTCCACTTCACATACGCTGAGTGAAAGGGGAGTTTTATAATGACGGGACACTCACTTATGACACTTCATTCACCAGGAAGAACAGCTCGTTCTGCGCGTCATACGTCATTACGCTATTTTTACGTCCCTACACATACGCAGTACTTTCCAGTTTCGGTTTTCAATCCGATCAAGTGTTTACATGTCCTCTCGCTCGGATTACAAAAGGAATAAACCACCCCTTACAATCCGAACGAAATCTGAATCGGATCTGGCCAATTCAATCCGATTTTTTTTTTTTTTATTCTGATTGTGCTTCTATTCCTATTACGAACGGATTAGTAGGGTCCATGTAAACGCGGCTAATGACTATTATTACAAAGATTGGAATAAAGTAACCTTTTGTGAAGCACATTTACAGAAATGATAGCTAATGACAGACATATGTTGTAACACTACAGGATTTCAAAATGCTTTTGTTTTTTTTTCTGTTTCTTTTTTTATGTTGTGATCATTTAAACTATGGGTCTATCATAAAGCTACTTTCTGAGTACCAAATTAATAAATACTTAGTAATAAGAACTTAGAAGTGAACCAAATCCAGGTATTATAGATTTTCCGGTAGTTGAAAGAAAAGGTTTCTGTAGTGACGTTTCTTGTGATTAATGCTTCTGAAATTATGCGAATAGAGTTTCTTGCACCTGCATCTGTAGGTGAATGTAACAAAATCAAGCAAAAGCTGCGGAAACTACGTAGCAGTTTTCTATAAGCATTTTACCATCAATTTATGAAAAAGAATGCACTTTGTTGTTATTGTCTGTTATTATGCTACTGATATTGTATGGACAAGTTGTGCATGTTAATTTTGAAGTTGTTCTAATTGACCATATGAAGCTACCTTGGGAGATTGACCATTGTCTTAAACTTGATAATCGTTAGTTTGAGAACTATATAAAAGAGGATACTGATAAAAGAATTTTTGTTTTGTTCATAGCTACACCATAGTTGTACGTTACAGTTTATATGAAAAGCTGTCATCGCATCTTAAAGAGTACATTTGGGGTTTACATGTTTTCCCTTCTCCTTTTTGATTTCATTAAGAACCAATTCTGGACAGTCAAGTGGAGACTACTGCTTAATGAGGAAGATGGCGGCTCATGTTTTGCTTTTGGATTTGGAAAGACATTTTATTTGTTTCTGATTTGCTATGATATTTTAATTCATTCGCTAATGTGCTCAACAATTGTATGTATTTTCTCATATTTTACTGCATTGTTGTTTTGATGAAATGCCTGTATTTAAAATTTAAAAAATGCTTACTTGCCTTTTTTAAAAGAAAAATAAAAAAAATTGTGATTGAACAATATCGAGTTGCTCTTATTGGATGGAGAATAAGAATGACGTTTCGCAAATTATTTACTTTGCCATTTACATCGAAGTTTAACACGCCTTGTCCAGGTTTAAGTTTTTATTTTCTTATTTAAAAAAAATGTAATAAATACAGGTCTGCTACGTTATTTACTTAAACTATGAATTATTAGCTGATATTCTAGGTGATATTTTCAAATATTAAAGGGTTTGTGTCATTTTCAACTGCCCACAACGGTTTATTTTATTTTGTTTTTATTTTTTTTAATTCATTTGATGTACTCCATAATTATGAAGCTTTTGCTAATTATTTTTGTTTAATCTATTCCACCTATTAATTTCTTGTTGAATTAAGATCACTCATTTGCTCACAAGAGCCATCCTGCAAGCTTTGGTGCACGCAACTTTCCTCTTTCAAATATCACGTTTGCAAAGTACATTACATATACAGAGCAGGTGTAAAAGGGTTCAAATTAAGTGGTCTAAAATGGTGTCCAGTGTAGTCCAGCACTCACTGCAAAATGGCAGTCTGTTGTCTCATTTCCTGTCTATGCAGGAAGTGAAGGCTTAAAGAAATAATTTTATCAACATAAAGATAACTCCTGCAATTTAAAACCACTAATCAGTTGTTCAGCTACTATACTTGTAGGGTAGAACTAACTTGAGCTTTAAATTTATATATGAAACAACTAGTTTTTATTGAAAATGAAAGGGGTGGGACTTTCGTGCATCACCTGAGCCCTGGGTAAATGGAGAGAACGTCAATCAAAGGCTAAGCTCTCAGAGCTGGGAAGGAGCTTTAGATGGCGGATGAACCTTGGGAAGGGGAGAGCGTTGAGCCTTGCAGGGCTCTCGATAGCACTTGTATCTCAACTTTGCTGAACTTTGACTGCCTCTTGGGGCACCGTAATCGTGCGAAATCGTTCGTTTTGTTACGTTTTGGTCTATAGAGACGTTTTGTGACTTTGTTTCGCCGAAAAGCGCTCTGGTGTGTGCGTAGAGTGGCCAGTCGTTGTTTTCCCTGCCTTGCGCTGGCAGCCATGGCGGTCCTCCATTTTTAGTGCGCTCTGCTGGGCTCTTCTCACACTCTCTCACTCTCTGTCTCCATTCAAATAGCCATCGGTGGATTACTGCTATTATTTTTCTTTCCGAATATTATTCCGATTATTATTTTCGTCTCAATCCTGGAATATTTTTGATTTTTTTTATTGTTATGGCCAAAGTAACAAATCGGATATTTTGTCAGATGTGAATGTACTGCTACAATCCTCCTCCTGTCAGTGCATTAGGTATGTTTACATCGTTTCTTTTCTATTGTCGATTTTATCTGCTTTCATCGTTATGTTTTAATCGTTCTTTGTTTGATGACGCAGTAAGAATTTATGCATGTGGCTCTATGAATCTGTTGCCTTGAAATGCCATCGACACATGGATATTTGACATCGAATAGAGTCGAGCAGGTGTCATTTCGATTCCGATGCTTTTTAAGTTAAGAAATACTATAAATATTTATTTATTTTAAACTATCCAATCCCAACTTGCCTTTTCCATATATTGCAACGGCAGGGTTTTTTTTTTTTTTTTTGATGGTTCATCCCACTTTAAACTTTTGACAGTTAATACCTGGACAAAAGATCATCATTAACAAATCCCAAGACAAAATCATGATGAAGAATAAGAGTAAAAAGCAGGAAGATGAAGGCTCGACTCAAAGCAATGCTTCCAGGTACGATCGTTCATATTTTTCTCTCTTTTTCAACATGTGTCTTGATTGTTTACATTTACAAGCATGGTTGATCACCTGTGCCGTGTTTAAACTACAATGTCTGCAAAATAGATGGGTTTCGGATCTGACCTTGGGATATATGTATAGCCACACCCTGATTTTGCTAGTATTTCTAAAAGTGGGCCTTTACGCAAATTTATACTCGAGATGCACAGTGTTTTAAACAGATTTGAGCAGTGATTACAGTTCTAATATTTACATTTTTAAACCGATCGTGTGAAATAACCTTGTCTGATTAGTATGTGCTGCATTGCACCACTATGTAAGGTTAATGGCATTTTAAACACTTTAACATAACATGAGTTTAGCTTTTGATTCATGTTGCAATACTTGTGTAGAAAACCTGCTCAGTCTGATTTTACTGAAATATTTTAATGAAATCCATTTCACACAAATACAATGTTTAAAGCAAGTTAATTGTTTTATCGAAAATGAAGAGTGTTATTTCACATAGGCATGATTGTGTTGTACATTTTTTGTTTACTTTTTTTTTTTTTTTTTTAAATGGTAGCAACAAAACTGTTGCTTGTTTATTTACTGTGCAGTTGTATTTTTAATTATCAAGTCAAGTCAAGTCTGCTTTATTGTCAATTCTTCCACATGTACAGCACATACACAGAGATTTTGTAAAATTTTACAAAATTTTACAATAGCTTTTTTTATTTTTTTTATCTTATCCTAAAATATTACTTGTTTTAGGGTCACACATGGCCTGTGTGAATTACAAACTTTGGCTATAAGGTATTGAATGTTTATGGAGTAGATATTTATAATTCCTTAATGAAATGGGGTATATTACCTCATATATTAATACAGTTCTAGCTTAGCACTCAATCAAATATTCCATAATTTATTGTAGTATAGCTCCTTGTAAAATATTTTAGCTTTCACTCTGTGTTTTTGTTGTGAAAGAGTGATTATTTTTAAGCATTGTTTAGAACCAAATTTTGAGTTTTTTCTATTTTGTTAAAATTGGTTTGGTTTGAATAATTTTCAGCAGTAAAACACGTTTTTGGGTGAAACTTTTAAAAACCTTGACATTGAGGAAATCAGACCGATATGTTGTTCCTTAGACTGATAGTACCATCTAAAATGAAAGTAGTTCTCCATTGTGAATATATATGTTCCATAATTTCCCCTCCAAACCAAATAAAAACAGGATGTCTTGATTCAAAGATGCAGTGGAAGCAAATTATTTTGGTTTCGTTACTACACTCACAGTTACTCTTATTTCCATATGTAAATATGAAACTCTTTGAGTTGTAAATAATGTTATTGTGTTCATAATAACAATTTTTCTTTTACAGAAATGTATTGTTTACATAGGCATTATTAATTTAGGTTATTCTTTAAAATATAACAAAACGACAAGGATTTTGCAGGGGACTTACAGTGATGCCATTTTCCATAGGTTCATGTTTTGTTTTTTCATGAAATATAAAAGGAAAAACTTGAAGACAACAGTTGGAAATAGAAGATTTTATTTTAATTGTCACTTGTTCAGTTTTGAAATTCTAATAATAATAATAATGTATTTACACTAAACACTTACAAACGGACACACATTATGTAGTTTTAACAAAGTTTGCTTCAACTTTTAGCAACTTGAGACCTCATCAATGAGGCTTTTACCCTGTGGGTCATCATATCAGTATATATATAAAAAAAAGCACAGAATGTTTTGATGTTATGTATAGTGCTTATGACTGGATCTGTCATTATTTTTATGGTTGTTTGTCAAGAACTTCCCTCTGAATTGATGACAGCTTTGAAGTTCCTGCATATGTGCCAGATACCAGAGTCTAAACTGAAAAAATCCCTCAAATGTATGTTATCTTTTCACAATTACACAATCAGTAGTTATATGTAATACTGTATATGTGATCATGAATTGTCAAATGAACATGTATGCTCACTTTTATAGGTTGCTTATAATTTTTCTTCAGTGTTAAAGATGCATATGAGAGTCTAAATCAATTCACTGTCCTGAGAAACATATCTTTAGTGTTGTTTAGCTTTGGCAGCCATTTTCTAAATATTACTAAATGAAACAAGAGCTGAAAAAGATATTAAATGTGATATTTTTCCTATATTATAGCCAGTGTACTTTATTTGAGATGTTTGTTTGGCTTACTGCTACATAAAAAGCACTGCTGTTTCATCACTGTATGAGACTGGTTTCATTAAATGGCTGAAAGTCCTCAAAGTCACAAAATGGCTCTTGCTTTGTGCTGCATAGCTTGTATTAGTTGCTGCATTACATAAAAGCTTCTTGGAACTACAGGAAGCGGAAGCAGGAAGTCTTTTAGAGGTCAGATGATTTCATACTTAGTTTTCATTGGGCCTTCCCGTGGCTAGATATAAGCAGCCAATGAGAATTCAGTTGAGAGGTTAGGACCGCCCATATGTGACGTCAGCAACCATATAAGGACAGTGGCTGGTAAGGCTGCTTTGTCAGCAGCTGTTTGGCTTCCTGAGCACATGAGGGGGGTGTTTGTTTCTAGCAGTGCATTCCATTATAGTACTCAATGTGCTTGCTAGCTTTCACAGCCAGATCTGCATTATGAATGCCATCGTATCAAATTAAATGAGCATTACTGAGATACTTTCACTTTAGGTTTAAGGAAACGTTTTGTCTTGTGAGTTGCATAAGATATAGTGCATAAATAAA